AACAAGTAGTAGTGTCATTTTTCTTGCTTTTTTTAACAGTTTCTTAACACTGATCAGTTAATACTTAAATTAACTAAGTTCATGGTTTCTTGATGTGTTTAAATGTGTTGTGCAGACGACACGTTCAGCCGTCAGGACAGAAGGTCACACTGACCAAGGCTGCTGTACAAAGAAAGATGTGCTGAACTACTTCTCTGTGCCTTACATAGATGGTATAAATCATCTGGAGGTAGTATTTAATTCCAAGTCTTGGTGTATATTTAAGATTATTTTGACTAATTATGTTGATGAATAAACTCAAACATTTTCTGGTTCTATTTTTGAAAACTGACTTATTTGTACTAAATTTATTATTTAAGCTTTTGGTCACTGAGATCCTGGTCTCTGAATGTATGGATTACATTTTACCTCACAATCTATCAGCTTTGACTCGTTCAATTCACTGTTAATCAGTAAAATCATGAATTGATAAATTTCTTCCTTAGCTAGAAATATGTTTTTCAGTGACACTTTTTATCAGTTTGATCTAAAATCTACAACTGAGCAGGGTGACTGCTTTGAATCACTGAGCAGCTCTACCTCTGCCTCAGTGGGTTTCTAACTCACTTCTCCCTGTACAATCCAAAGTACTGTTGCAATTACAAAAGGAGATCTCGTCTTCAGAAGTTGTCTGCTTGACTGGCAGGTTAACTACAATAAATATTCTATAAGCACATGCTTGTACAGTCATTTTCCACCTTTTATTTTTGCATTAGAACAGAATCCGCTGGGATCAATGGACTTTGATAGTGTGGAGACATGAAGTAATTTGCTGCCATGGGTGGTCAGACTGTGAAATGTATGAGCAGTAGCCCTGGAGAAGACAGTGACTGAGGAAGGCATATCTTCTCTAAATGAGGGGTTAAATGGCACCCTGCCATCCAAAGATTGGAATTACTGCCACATGGAGCTCTAAATTGAGTTTAAATAGTCTTAACTTGATATGTGAGATGAATGACTGTCTGCAGCTATACCGATTACCATTTCACATTGTATTAGAATGTTTTGCCCCACCCCTACTTAGAATATCTCCAGTGAATTTGAATATGAGCTTGTTTTTATTTATAAACATAATTACTGTCTGTCTGCAATATTTGCACGCTTGTCAAGTCGAGAGCTCTGTGTGTGCAGAATAAAAGCAAAAGCTCCCATAATTATGTTTACGTCCGGTGATGAAAATCCCAGGGTTGTAATGATCAGTAATTATAAATACTTTTCAGTATGTCTACTGCCTCAGCTGGGACTATTGTGTGGTGTGAAGTGCAGAGTTTGTGCAGCTTAATTATGACATTGTACATGACTAAATGTACCAGTCTGCTTCAGCTCTGCAAAACACTTCCAGTGCATAATCACGCTCAAGTCTGACTTTAAAGAGCTCATTACAGTTAGTTTTCTAAAGAGCGGCTTATTAAACACAGTTACCTAATAAGCATCTTTGGTGGTGCAAATTGGTAAAAATGGTAATGAGTCTGATTAAGCCGCGTTTCAATTACGACAGCTTTCACTTGCCTCCCCCTCTCCCTCAACAAACCCTCTTTCCCCTCCCCCAAAACCAAAAAGAGGAAGGAAAGTCCAGCTCTTTATGCTTGGGAACCCTCCTGGAAGGCATTTTGCTTTCTCTCTCTCTCTCTCTTTCTCTCTCTCTTTCTCTCTCTCTCTCTCTCTCTCTCTCTCTCTCTTTCTCTCTGTCTCTATCTCTCTCTTCCTCTCCCTCACACACACACACACACACTTTACGCACATACACAGAAAAAGGAAAAGAAAACCACTCTGCCACCTCTGTGCTTCCTTTCAGCAGCACAGTAATGAATAGAGAATTGTGCAAGCGGTGGTCCAATTTACGCACTAGGAAATTGGATGGACAGAGTGGAGGCCCACTCTTGTTTGCTTAAAAACGGCCTAGGCTACCAGATTAATAGTTCCCAAAAAGGTCAGCATCTCTGTTTCATCGATGATGATCACTGAACCAGAAATTAAACACCATATCGCAGCATGACACCGCGGCATCACATGTCAAACGCATTTCGCCTCCTTCTGCTCTGCTTTCCTTTGATGAGTGTGAGATTGTGTATAGAACATACAGCATAAATCGTCAGGACGCCCTCTTTTAACCATTTCTACAGTACATATTTTTGTGCTGGACAAATGTGCGTTTCCTCAAATGCATCTTCATTCCAAAGAAAATTGGACAAACTTTCCACAGAAATTTATTTTCTCATAACGATCATCTCGAGTGGAGCACAGAGGATCATTGAGACCTATGAATTGACAAACAGAAAACAGTCTAACAAAGGCCTTATTTGTTGGTGGCTGATCAGTGGAATTTGAGCCTGAGCCCCGAGGCTATCTGAAAACATTCCACTAATAGAGCGCTCTGTAATTATACCATTTCAAAGAAGGACAAAGGAACCTGTGGATGTTGTATTTGAATTTCTATGAGGTAGAATAAAGGACAACATTTTACCGTAATACCAAAGTACCAGATCATTATGCTAATGTACTGTGTGTGTGTGTGTGTGTGTGTGTGTGCGCATTCGTGTCTATTTATAGGTTAGTGTGTACATCTGTAGATGTGTGTCTATGTCGTTGCTGTGTGTTTATACTATTTTTAAGCATGCATATGTATATGATCTCCTGGGATGCGTTCACCATCCACTCCATAACCTTTGTCTGTATCAAACTATTTAAAGTCTGATTCACATTCAACTCTTAGAAGGAAGAAACTGGTTGAACTGAATCATTTTACTGTAATTCAAACTATCTTTACAATTTCATTATGCTATTGCTGCAGTATATAATGTACTCCAGGATATTTTCTTTTTTTCTTTCTGTGTGGGTTCAGTATTTTTATTTAATACAAACTTGACTGCCAGGTGTAAGTTTTCTTTTTTTTTCTATATAAAAAGCGCAAATCTCAAGTATTTCGATAATCCTGGAGGATCCATTTTATGAACTATCTGATGCTCAGTGGTCTCAAGTACACTTTGCAAGTAGCACTTCTGTGATTGTCCAAAGTGGCACGTTGTTCAGAGGGGATTATCAGTAATAGAAGAATCTCACTCAATAAGCTGTGTGCAATTTTGTTATTGACAAAATGTGCCTTGAGTGTTAAGGAACTCCACTGAATGATTTTTTGTACAAAAACTATTATCCTGATACTTGCCACTGCGGTGTCAGTGGTGGTTCAGATTTTTTGGCAGACAGTGAAGTGCTAGTCACTATTTCACAAATACTGTTTTGATTGTTGGAACATTTTCTTCAGCGATAATGTGGAGGGGGGGGAAAGAAATATATTATTTTATTGGACAGTTTTGTAAAACAGGTATTTTATTGTGGTATTAGCAAGAGAGAGGGGAAAAAAAACAGGTGTGTCAGGGTGCACTGGGAAAATAATTTTCCTCCTAAAAACTTTTGCATTGCACCCACGTATTATATTCCTAACAGCTGGCCAAGAATAATACAGTAAGGTGATCAGTGGCTGCTTTTAGTATTCTCACAAGTGCACATTATCTTTAGTTAACTGCATTTAAATAAATAGGATTTTAATTTGTAATGTATGAAAGATATTTTTTGCTGCTTTTGTAATGTCATTCTTTTATTTTGTCATTGCTACCCACGATAATAGGATTTGTTTTTCTTGTACGTTTATTAACATTTCTGCTCAACCACAGTATGGTTACCATATTTTTCTGCCCAGGCTTTTTTTTTTTTGTGCCTCGGGCTTTTTTCTTCCCTTTTTTTTTTTTTTCTTAATCATTAGCTTGGGTGGTTGACAACCATGTGAGCCATAGCATGGATCTCTTTGACTAAAACCTTGTAAATTAACACAATTAGTGCAGCATCATCCTGCTAATTAGCTGCTGGTGTCTAGTGTGGCGGGTGGGCAAATGGCTGGGAGGGAGTCAGAAGGGAATCCACAGACAAACACTGCATTTGTAATCTGCCTCTGGACAGTAGCTGTTTGTTGCTTAAATCCTGTGATATGGACTTAACCTACTGAAGTATAAAAGACGGCAGCGCGGCGCCTACTAACAAAGACAGGCGTTCTAATAGGCAGGAAAAGTTTCGCTTAAATTCATCTTCCTCTCATATCTTCTTGTAGCTTTTGGTCAGATTAGTGTTGATGCAAGATGTGTGCGACTCGGTACACTATCTCAGATTGTTTTTGAGCTGTAATCTCTAATAGTCTACATTCTTTGGGGGTGTATAGTACATCCTCTGATAATCCCAGAGTAAAAAGATGACAGCATGAGTAAAAAAAAAAAAAAAAACTTTTATTTGAAGATTGACTTACGGATTTAACTTGATTATTTCTGTCATTCAAACCCTTAAGGCCGTATAGAGAGGCTGAGAGAGGCTGCAGAGAAAAAGACAAGTGAAGCATGTTTTTTTTTTTCCTTTTTTTTTTTTCCCCCCCTTCCTCACTGTGTCGACGAGGAAGCAGTAGGCAGACTCGATGTGGATGTAATTCATGCTGAGCTGAGGGGTTTGTGTGATGAAAGCAACAGAGCGCTGCCAAGGAAGATTGCTTTGCTGCTCTCCTCCAAGCAGATTTGAAACTGTCTCAGAATGCCTCAGATGAGAGTTGGATTATAGACTGACCTGCAATGTCTGTGTCATTCTGTTCTGTGTTGGGTGGATTATACCACGGTAACCAGGTGTTGGGTCTCATATCCTTTTACTGACCATGATGTGGATTCAGTTAGTGCTGTCTGTCATATGAGAGACATTTGGAGATTATGACGCAAGTTATATTAAGACATTTCCCTGAAAGACACTGTAGAAAACTCCTTATCCCCTCCTTAGTAATGCCGGTAATGCTTTTGCTTTTTTTTCTTTGTAATTTTTCATCCTCCTCATTACAATTAGAAAAACATTTTTCTGTGTGTTTGATTTTTGTTGAATATATTTAATATAATATGCTGACTTTGACATGTTTCTCCCTTATGTGGAATATTTAGGTCTAAAGATGCAGTGGACCCCAGAGCACACACAATGGGCAGAACAACACTTTGACATCTCATCCACTACCCGCTCGCCAGCTCACAAAGTAGAGGCCTACCGGGGGCACTTACAGCGAACATACCAGTATGCGTGGGCAAACGACGACATCTCTGCACTGACTGCCTCCAATCTGCTTAAGAAATATGCAGAGAAGTACTCTGGGATCCTAGAAGGCCCAAATGAAAGAGCCCTGCTGTGCTCCTACTCTGATAGCACCACCGGACTCATGAATGGACGAAAGTCAGAGAATGAGTCCTGGCAGGAGGGGATTTACCCAATGAACTGTGCTCCAGATGTTATATCTGTGAGCAAAGCTGGAATGACAGCTGCCCTACCCCCTACAGATGTGTCGGCTAGCATAGGCAGCTCCCCGGGGGTGGCCAGCAGCTTGTCTGAGCCTAGCTATTCCAGCAGTAACTGTGGGAGTCACACGGCCACTACTCTCCACTCGGGCCTCCCCTCTCAGGAATATACTGCCAGCTACAACGGCTCCTACCTGCATTCTAGCTACAGCGGCCAGAGTACCCCGGCCCTCCCCTCCCCACATCCTTCTCCTTTGCACAGCGCCGGCCTATTACAACCACCACCCCCACCTCCTCCTCCTACTTTAGTGCCGAGCTACAACGCCGGGTCTCCAAACCTTCCCAACTACAATTATCCACCAACAGGGTATGCTTCACAGACTGCTGTTGGCCCCGGTTATAGCCCAGGGGGAGCGCCCCCTCCTTCTGCTTATCTGCCGTCCGGTATTGCAGCGCCGACACCAATCCCTCCCTCCACACTGCCCGGCTACACCTACCAGTCCCACAATCACACACCAATTGCACCAACACCTTTGAATGGCAGCACATCTAACTCATTAAAACGAAAAGCTTTCTACATGAGCGGACATGGAGATATGGACTCAAGCTACGGTAGTTTCAACTACACCCAGCAGCGCTCTTCGCAGAGCCCGATGTACAGAATAGCAGACAGCAGCATCTCAGACTCTAGCAGGGGCAATGGCTTCGAAAGAAATGCTGAAACGTCCTCTTTAGCTTTTAAGCCAACCAAACAAATATCTTCTGATCAGCAAAGAAAATTTAACTTACACTCCGGCAGAGCACTAACTCCTCCATCCTACGGATCAACCAAAAGCTCTGCGGGTGATCTCAGAACTGGTGAGCCCTACGGCAAGTTTGGATCTCCCATCATGAGCGAGCAAACTGAAGAGCACAGACAGCACCTCTCTCACTCCCTAACAGGGCCTGACATAGGTACGGCTACCTCGTCCATCCATGCTGCAGAGGAACAACTGAAGAACAGTGATTCCAACCTGGTGGAGATGGTGACCACGGAAATCCTTCAGCAGGGCTCTCCGGTGGACTGGAGTGACATTGCAGGCTTGGATATGGCCAAAGCAGCCATCAAAGAGGAGATTCTATGGCCCATTTTAAGGCCCGATATGTTTAGTGGGCTTGCCACATTACCTCGGACCCTCCTTTTGTTTGGACCTCAGGGAACTGGTAGAACGCTGCTGGCTCGGTGCATGGCCAGCCAACTGGGGGCTGCCTTTCTGCGCCTGAGCAGTTCGGCGCTGGTGACCAAGTGGCTGGGAGAAGGGGACAAGATCATCCAGGCGTCTTTCCTCGTGGCCCGGTGTCGCCAACCAGCGGTAGTGTTCATCAGCGAGGTCGACCTGCTGCTGTCAGCCCAGCTCAGCGAGGAGAGTCCAGTAAATCACCTCAAGACTGAGCTCCTCATCCAGCTCGACAGTATTCTGACCTCTGCTGAGGACCATGTTCTCGTGGTCTGCTCCACCAGCAAGCCTGAAGAGATCCCAGAGTCCCTACGGAGGTACTTTGCCAAGCGATTGCTCATCCCCTTGCCTGATGGGACAGCACGACATCAGATAATCAGTCAGCTGCTCTCACAGCACAACTACTGTCTTAGTGACAAAGAGATGTCGCTGCTGGTTCAGAGGACAGAGGGCTTTTCGGGACTAGACGTGGCCCAGCTGTGTCAGGAGGCCGTGGTAGGTCCTCTCCACGGCATGCCTGGGACCGACCTGTCAAGCATCCACCCCAGTCAGATGAGACCGGTTTCCTACCAAGACTTTGACAATGTGTTTTGCAAATTCCAGCCCAGCATATCACAAAAAGAACTTGACATGTACACTGAGTGGAATAAAATGTTTGGTTGTAGTCAATGAAAGAAACCCATCAAACGCAATTTCTTTAAACACAGCCGTTGAATACAAATAAGTGTTTGGCCTTCAGTGAACAAGGAGAAGAAAAAAAAAAAAGCAAACAGTGGTGAACATATTATACAGAGCAAAGGGATTGTCATTACAGGCTTCAGAGAGACGACAACAGTCTGGACTTCACACATTGGTTAAAATCAATTAAATGCTTTATACGGCTGTAGCCATGTGCTCGAGAAAACTTGGAGTAGATGCCCCCCAGTTTTTGTATATACATACATATATACATGTACATATATATGTGTGTGTGGGTGTGTGTGTGTGTACATATACACACACCCACACATATATATATATAGTATTCTGCTGATCTTGAGATTTAGTTGCTATCAAGTGCCTGAGGTGGTGCTGTTGAATTTTTTTTTCTTGTAGGGTTCTCTCTTTTTATTTTTTATTTTGCCTCACAATCTTCATTGGTGACATGTGCTAATATATATATTAAAACAAAAAAAAGCTTTACAATGTGAGAAAAAAAACAAAAAAAACTTGCTTTCTCTTTTTCATTGGAGCAGTGTTCTTCAGCTGTGTCTGTTTTGTGCTCTCTGTGAACAGTTGTGGTTAATTTGAGCTTAATTAAATTTATCGGCATCATTTTAGTTGGGCTTCATTACCTTACACATGTTGTTTTTTTTTTTTAAATGTAGGTGGAAATCATTTAATTAACATTCTAGCAAACTTAAATTTGGTTGATGTACTCCTCTGTAGACGACACGACAATGAAAAGGCAAGAAAATTTAGAATTATTTTACAAGGTGACTTCAATTGAAACAATAAATTGCGATGTAATTCCTGTTACAGATGTTGTTACAGTAGTAATTCACAGTGTAAAATTCAACCTGTTGTTTTTTTTTCTTTTCTTTTGATGTTCTCTATTTGAAAACTCAGGAAAGTGATGATATGTATAGTACCTCATAAGCTTGTATCGAAGCACTACACACCACACAAGCATTTGGCTTGCATTTGAAATTGCATCATCAAAACACGAAAGGCTATAGAATACCTCAAAAAGCTCAAAATGAAAGGTTCCTACGACGAATGTATGAGAGTGATTCTGGTAATAATAATTTGTTTGGGATTCTTTACCTTTGAATTAGTTGGAAACTTGTATTATGATGGGAGATTTGCCTTTTGAAAAGAATAGAAGCATTATGTATCTTGAATTGTAGCCTTGAGGAACACTTTTTCTTTCCCCCTCCCCTCCTCTTATTGGCTATCACACAGAAAACCTTCATTTACATCCAATACAATGATCCTGTTGTTTAGTTCCCTGTTTGCAGACACAGCTGTTCAGCTTGTGGTGATGCAGAGCTGAGAGAAATTCGAAAAAAAAAAGGTGCAGACAAACATCTCGGGGTTGAGGAAGACAACCGCCCCGAGCTGTTTTGTTCCATCCTGCTGCTGTTTTATCATTAATGAAACCTAAGGATTATGTATAGCCTAAGTTCCTTTCTACCTCAGTTTGTTTGTTATCTCTGAAAGACAAATTCACAAAGACAGCAAAAATGTCAGCGCCTATTCTGCTTGTTTGATGAGGAAAAGCCCTTTGAGAGAACACCAAACGCTTATTTTGTTGTGTGCAAAAATCTATTAGCTTTACATTTTGATAAACTACCAAGAACCCTGTTTCTCACCACGTAATGCACTTAAAGGGGAATACCACTGAATATCAGGTTTGGGATACATGATACCTTTGCCTTAGGACAATTTGGTCTGTATGAGCACATCTCGTGGATCTTGTCGCCGTACCTTGTTAGACCCTCTGCAATGTCAAACAGTAAACTCTAAATGTGACCAGCACTCACAGCGCTTTTCATTCTTAAAAATATAATTCCATTATGTTAATACGAAGTTTACAAAAAAAGAATTAGTTTGACCTTCTCGGGCAGTAACTGTAACATTCGTGAATTGAGTGGCATTCCTTTTTAAGAACATGAAGCTCGTCTCACTCCGTCTGTACACACACACACACACACACAAAAAGAAAAAAAAATGCTCCTGTTATTTTTTACTCTGTGTTTTCACATTCAAACTGTTGCTGTGTTATTTATCGCTATTTGCTGCCATTAATCAGTACATTTCCATGCAACGTTTCCAACAACAAAAGAGCAGGTCTGACAGCTGAATTGGCAAGTATTGAATGTATTATGTCCTCAGAGCAGTATAAGGAAAGCCAAGCACTTGCACATTGAAAAACGCCACTGAAGTAGATAGCACTGTAGGTGGATGAAACTGCAGAGGCACAGAAGGACCTGAATCGTTCTTTCTTTTTTTTTTTTTCAAGTAGGTCCCTTTATATTTGTTGCCTGTTGCACATGTTTTACCTGTTCTTCTTCTTTATTATTATTATTATTACAAACTATATAAACCACTGCCACCTGGTTTGGTATCATGAACTCTTCCAGATTCATATCAGGATGCTTACAGAGCATCCACAACAACAGCAGAGCCACTGCACTGCCTCACCATCAAGTCACAAGATGAGTGGCAGCATCATTAATAAACTCAGACGAGTTTTAGTAATTGGTGGAACAGTAACTCCTTGATAGAAACAGCATCAAGTCATTTGTGTTTGTTGCTTTTCAGATCACACAGAGACGATTCCTTTGAGTTTAATTTACTTTTCACAGCTGGGTCTTTTTTTTTTTTTAAACTCCAAATCTTTACCACAAAAACTGATCCATTGTGTACATTTGTGCCGTTCAAACGCAGGATAACCAAACTTTTTTTTGTGTAACAGTCAGACTCGCTGATGACAAACAATTGTTTACAGTGAATGAAAACTGTCCATGTAGAGGTTGTAGTCACACACTTTTAGGACAGAATTGAGGGAAAACACTTTGTCATGAAGTTGGAAAAAAGCTGCTTTAAGTGGAAAAGTGTTGAAAATGAGCAGAAAGCCTCCTTTAAAAACAAACATCACTCCCCTTAAATATTGTGTCAGTATTTATTGCACTTTGATGTGTTTTTTTTTTTTTTCCTGAAGCCAAAGTCAAACATCTTTCTGTTGAATAATGCTTTTGAACAAGTTGTGTGTTTCAGTGCCCTTAATGCCACCATGTAAGCTGTACTTACTGAATATTTGGACTCTGGATGGGCATTGTTAAGTCATTGTATCACACCATGTCCGCTATTTACGAGATGTGTCATGAGACTTCAGTTGTACCTTGTCAGAGTTAATGAACGGTCTGTCACCTCTGCCTGGAGTTGAAATAGAAATAATTTAATTTGTTTGTCCTAAAAAATAAGAAATGCAACACAGATCTAAGGTGGAGAATGTCACTCATCGGTGTTTTTTTTTTTTTTGTTGAATATGAGTGAACACATCAGCTTTTGACGAGAGGGCGCTAAGAAGCCCTGAGTGCCATCGACAAGCACAGATTTCACCAGTTTAAGAGGTGGACTGTTCACCAACAGCAGAGATTTGTGTTAAAAGGGGGGAAACGTTCCACTCACATTAAGTAGTGCTTGTAATCTCTTAGACAACAAAAAAGATCCTCGTTTGAATTATTTTCTAAACAGTGCAATAGAGCACAATGTGACAGAAGGCACACGACAAGTTAGATTAGTTTGATTTCAACCGTCATGACAGATAGACGGTTAATAAAAAACAAAAAAAAGAGGCAAGATCTGATAAGAAATAAACAGCTCCACATATATCCAGATAGGGTGTATATTCCACTTGCTGTAGATGTTATCATTACTAATAGTCGTTCATTATTGAAGGTGAAGAAAGGGCCCGCAGCCACAAACAACACTTAAGCAGAACCTTTGATAAGCACATCGAGTCTCACAGTAAAACCGACTCAGTCACTTGAAACACTTTTTTTTTTTCTCAAATTCCTTTCAGTATTTCTGTAATTACGGTTTTGTTGCTTAAAAAAAAAAAAAAAAAAAAAAATGTTGATTCCATCCTAGTTTTTTTTTATAGTCCGGCATTCTTTATAACCATTTCTACCTCATTGCTACATATTGTACATGTAGTACTCGCGTCCTGTCATTTTGAATGTCATGCATTTGTGGATAAAAACTTAAAACGACAAAAAAAAAACAAGAGGAATAAAATAAAAGCTTGCCCTTGAATCTGAGCAGTCTACCTCAAAAAGACTGTCTTTACACTGTCGAGTACAAGTCACCGAACAAAAAAAAATAAATACGGCACCTTGAGGGATAAAGAGGAAGTTAACCTGCACATACGGTTCATTTACAGTACCACGTTTTCATCCAACTTTTGTGAACATTTGTCTTCTGCAAGTTTTTCAATGCAAATTCTTTTTCGTAAAAAAAAAAAAAAAAACAAACACAAAAAAAACAACCTAAACAAATTGCTTTAATTTGTCGTAGTGCGCATGTTAATGTGTATGTATGTGCACTGGCAATTCTACATGCAAATATGAAGGGATAACATTAAGATATGAAAATTTTGAATTTTTACTTTTCATATACATGTACAGAGAATAAACTTGCACATAGCTGTACGTATTGTACATTTGCTAATGATATACAGCATACATACGAAAATGCACCACATACATGTTTATATGTGTGTATGTATTGCCATACTGACAGTACAGTCGATTTAAATGTATTTTAATTTCAAGGTACATAAAGGTTATTGAAATACTGAATAAAGGTGTTTTTTCTTTTTTTTTTCCTGAACTCTGGATGCATTTTGTACCTTCCCTTACGTGATTACGGTGTGATAGATCGCGCTGTTTCCATTTCAAGCGATTTCTCCTGTCAGAAAATGTTGACTCAATTACAACTTGTGTCGCGTATTTTTATTTCGCTTGTGTCAAACGCAGATATGGTTGAAGTAAATCACCTTGCGGCGGCTAAATTTACTTTTTTATCTCCCTCCTCGCGTCAATAAAACATCTCGTGATCCGTAACAGTTTACAAATCCATACCGTTCTTTTAATAGAAAATGAACAGCGATGCTTAAAATTCCTCTTTCATG